TTGGAATGATCATAAAAATTATTAAATCTGATATATTATTTTATAAAATTGGATCATAATTAAAAAAGTTATAACAATTTAAAGGGAAACATATAATGTGATGCCACATGACAGTCATAGGACGCATGGGATGATAGTCACCCTCCTTAGTTAGGGTGAGCAAAATCACACTCGAGCGAATCCGTTGCTTTATGAACCCCTAACTTATGCATCATTTGTATTTTAAGAACATGAAGATTGAAAAATCAAAGGAGAAGTGTCAGGTTCAATTCCAAGTAAAGGTATGGGCCGGAATCTTACTCTTTTATTTTTACGAGTGTGTGATCAAACTTCAATTTACATTCTTCTGAATAATCGTCAACCGATTGTGGTGGTGGTGGTGGGGGGGGGGGGGGGGGGGGGGCTCTCTCTCAAGGATGAAGTATCGTCCTTTTTTTTAAGAAGTACTTTTTTATGGTGATAAACTTGTTTAGTGGCTTTTTTCTATGAGAAGCTTAATTTATTTCATTATAATATTTTTAGGAATATTATGTTGAACATTAAGGAAAACTTTGGGAGAAGCATATTTATAAGAGCATTGGATTGGCTAGCTAGTTATTCTTGTGATTTGGCTTGCCACATCACCATTCCTAGCAAAATTGTTTCCAAAGTAAAAAACACTACTAGAGAAGGAACCTATAACATCAGTTATTTTATACTTTTAACGTCAGTTATGGAACCGACGTGTAAGTGAGAGACGTTATAAGTTAGACCCTATAACGTCAGTTTTATAACCGACGTAAAAAGTTACTTTCCACGTCGGTTTTATAAAAAACCGACGTTACATATATTTTCGAAAAAATAAAATAAATACATGTTATGTCGGTTATTTAACAAAACCGACGTTGAATATAATTTAAAAAAAATACATTTTACGTCAGTTCTCTCAAAAAACTGACGTTAGAAGTAGCTTTTTTAGAAAAAAAATATATACATGCACTATGTTGGTTATTTTAAATAATTAACCACCGGTGGTTTCCCAAAAAGGTCTAAATTTAGAATATTCAAACACATTTAACAAACTGAATACAAGAAATATTTGCAGACAAAGTGTATAGAATATCAAAACACATATACACATCTACACATCTACGTACATCTACACATCTACGTACACATCTACACATTACAAAAATCCAAGGTGAAAAATAAAACACCAAAATCAAGAAATCCAGTACATGTAACGATTAGTTGCTTCATGGCAGCACCTAGAAACTCAGACAGGTGTTGACGTAAATGAACTGGACAAACCTAGAAAAAGCCACCAAAAGTATATCAGTAAAGGTAGCATTCAAGATTAACAATAAAACAAATAACAACTTCCAAGACATTTAGTGAGACAGAGATTTGTAGAGAAACAAGCTCAATTGCTTTTTTTATGAATGCTTTTAAATGTAATCTAGCCAAAAACACATAGTATAGAGAACCACATAGTACCATTTCCAATTCTAGCATCTCCACATATGAAACTTCTCAGAAACTAAAGGAAAAGACCAATAAATTGAATTAATAATAACAAACTGCAAAGGACCAACATGGATTACTTGAGCTCAACAACCCATCCCATGTTATCCTCTGCAATCCCCGTCTGGAGTCTAGTTAGTGATGAATACAATTGTTGTGAAACCACATCAACCCCATTGCTTCCATAAGTCACCCGTTCCCCTAAATAGGTTATACTGCCATTGGGGGATACAAGTCATACAACCACAGCTGTACCAGTACAGAACACTTCATCGGCATCAAGCAATTCATCTACGGACACAAATCGTTCTTCAACCTGGAAACCTTGGCTGACAGCCAGATCACTAATGCTCTTCCTGGTTATGCGGGACAGGATGGTCCCTTTTATTGCTGGAGTTACTATCATATTACCCTTCACAACAAACACATTGCAAGAAGAAACCTCTTCCAGAAATTTGTTATGAGCACTATCAAGGTACAAAACATCTGAATAGCCTTTCGTTTTAAATATTTCAATAGTTAATTAGCTACAACTTCTTCCTATTCATTTCTTATGAGTTTATTAATAATATTATATTTAATAATTCTCTTTTATTAAGTTAATAGTTCCTTTAAGCTAATTAGTTTTTTCAAGTAAAAAAAAGCAATGCCTCAATTGTAAGATATTTTCTTTAAGACTACAAGCAAGTCCTTCACATAACCACTAACTAAGATGCTCTTAATAGATGGCTTTGTTAGAGTGCGAGGACTGTTCACTTGACACCTACTAAAAACTACACAAAAGCCGTTATTCTTATCGCGTTAACATTTCAATATAGAACTCTAAGTTTTAATATGGCATCATGGCCAATTAAGCTCCAATGAGCAATTAGAGTCTGATAAACTTCAACAGCGAGCACATAAACGGTAAAATTAATTCATCCTACACCGATTTTTTATACAAAGGCAAACTAATATATAATGTTTTGAACTACTCCTTTTATGAGGTTGACCTTTTAGAAATTTAAAATGTTAATATTTTATACTATGCTGACCTGGTAATATAACAAGTAAACATCATGATTTGTTTTATTTTCTGTTATAATTCATGATAAAGTATATAGGCCACATACCTAAGACCCATATAAATATGGACGCACATAGTTGGCACTTGGCCAAAGCAACAAACTGGGCTTCACCTCAGCTAGGCCCCCTCGGTTGGCCGAGAGACCATCACTCAAGCATATCGAAGATACATACTGGACTTTGGAACTGAGCCGACCTGACCTCTATGCCCTAATGTCTCAGCCTCAACCATTGTGTTCGTAGCTACGGAGTTGACCAAACAACAAAGCGAACATAATGGTGCAATCTTGCATATGTGTGGAGTTATCATGCGTTGTAAGCTTTACTCATAAGAGCATCCACATTCATGCTACTTAAATAAACGGATTTTTAGTGACACGTCGATTGACATGTAGATTTTTTCAAAATAATCTCACACTTTCTAAATTACACCATTCATCATCTCAAAATAATCAAATCTTTTGTGGGTCCCGCACTCACCAATTAATACTAGCTGCATAATAATCTTGAGATAATCTGGATTCATATTTCAATCCAGGATTATTTTGTCAAATAATCTCACCAAATAATCTTCATCACTCAATCATGATCCCAAAAATAATCCGCCACGTCACCAACTTAATCCTCAAATAATCCTATGGATGGAGATGCCCTAAATTAGCTTAAATGTGAATGTGCATTATTTAATGCCCCCAACTAACGTTTATGATTAGTATAAATAGCCTCATCGGGCAGTTGTAACGGTCCAAAAGTTCATTAGTACCATATCTATATATATTCATCTCTCTACTATTTAGTTATGTCTTCTCTCTAGATACCACTAGCGCGGTATACTGATATAGTTATCATTTGGTGTTTTCATTCAGAGGTAGAACAATCAAGTTAGTACTCATGTCGTAGCTAACACCTCAAATCGAATGGGAAAAATCAGAAGCTCTAAGCAAGGAAACCCAAAGCACCTTTTCCTCATCCTCCTCAAGAAAAGTCGGTTGAACCATGGTTTCATCCTTAGCTAGAAGAGCTACGAGGGACGTCATTGGTGCGAATGAGGTTGACCAAGCTATCGACCTCCGTGTCCAATTTAAGTGAAATGCTCCCGATGCTTTGCTCGAAATCGAGGCAAGAAGGAAGGAAATGAGTTACTCTACTATCGTTGCTCAACAAACACTTCTTACTCACGTATTTGACGTCCACAAATTACTATGGCTATGTTTGGTATGGTGTAATGCAATGCATTGAAATAGAGTATGTAATACACTAAAAAATGGAATGAAATCAATATTCCATTACTATGTTTGGTTAGGAGCGGTAGAACACTCGGGAAGAAGAAAAAGTGAAAATTTGAAAGGGAAAAATCATTACATTACGGTTTAAAATAAAATGACATACCAAACATTGTATTTGAATCAACATGTAATGCTCATTACATTACATGATTGATTACATCATACCAAACATAGACTATGTGTTATACTCCACCAACCTCAATTGTAGTGACTAACGACTAACATGTGATAGGCATTTCCATAACGTGCTACGGGCCCATAATTTTTCATAGTACTTGAGTTTTGAAGGTGAATTGATTTTTTTTTTGAAAATGAAGAAAAATCAGAGGAGAAGAAGAGACGACGTACAAGAAGGACAACAAGGGATAAAGAAGGTGAAAATAAAATCATATTCCCTCCGTCCCGCTAAGATTGTCTCATTTCATCTTTTCAGTTCGTCCCGCTAAGATTGTCCCATACTATATTTGGTAAAGCTTGTGTGACTCTAAATCATTTTTTCTTTATTCTTACTTTTTCAATTCAATATCAATCACACAAACCACTTTTTATTGATTTGCGCGTCATTTTCTCTTGTCTAATTAGAGCATCTCCATTCATGCTCTAAGAATAAACGTTTTTTTATTACACATCATTGTCACATCACATTTATTCTATAAATTTTAAATAATCTCAGAGTTTAAAACTCTTCATCAACAATAATACTCAAATAATCAGTTTTTTTCCGAACATGCATTTAATGTAATTTAATTACAATCCAAAATAATTCGGGATTTGAATCTTGATACTAGCTTTTCTTTTTCATTAATCTCACTAAATAATCTCACTCACAATGATAATCTTGAAAATAATCTTACACATCATCTAATTGATTTTCAAATAAATTCATGGACGAGGATGCCCTTATTAGTGGGACGGATGGAGTAAAGAATTTGGAGGAGTCCATCAAACTTGTAGGAAGGAGTCTATAAAACTTGTAGGACTGACCACAAATCCACAAGTCCACAACTAAAGTCATGTATTCATATTATTAACTGGGCCGATATAGTTAATCGGCCCAACTTCCCTCCAATACGAATTCCCAACCGCTCCGGTCAACAATCACGTTCTCACCTACTAAAAGAATCTCAATACGAATTTGGTGCCCCTCTCTCAGTTACGTCAAAACCAACGACCACCTATCGCATCGTCGGAAACATGGCGGCGTCAACGGTGTCGCTGGAGGATGTCCCAAGTGAAACCATCATGTCGGAGCTCCTCCGCCGTCTTAAGTGCTCCACCAAGCCTGATAAGCGCCTCATTCTCATCGGTAACTTTCACATTTCTGTTTTCTCTTTAAAAATTCTGCAGCATATTTTTCCATATAATTTTATGTTTGGGTACTTGTGTCTGTGTTGGGTCTCGAATCTAGATATTTCGGAGTCAATGCAGCGCCATATTGGATGAATCTAGGTACAGAGTTGAGCTTTTTAGTGGCTGCGATGTAATTGTATTGATAGCTTGATTTGCTTCATAGCAGCACTGAAATTGTTAACTTGGCTTTTGTTCTCATCACTTCTTCTCCTAATTCACTGTGATTTCTGTTATGATTGGTTAAAGGAACGGTTGAACTTAATTCTGGATATTTTCAACTTCTTTAGTTTTTGGATTACGGTAATCATGGACAGATCTAAAGATTTGTGTAGGGATGGGATGAATTGTGATTAAACTAGGCTCAATGAAATATTGAGACGGGCTAAATGAAGAAAAATTACATTACAAAATTAATTTCCCCTAGACTTCTGCCCTTGGTAGATCCGCCTATTATAGCCCTGTGTAGATCTGTCCTTGGTTAAAGAAACCTATATCTTGTTAATGTTGGATTCTTTGTTGTTGCCTTGTTGGATATTTAGGGATCCGGAACCTCTGTCTTGCTTTGCAGCAAGGTAGGGTGCCCGGCTGATTAGAGCCGTCCGGCTGATTTTCCAAAATCACTCTAAAAGCCATTTTTAAAGTGGTTTTGGTAAAAGTGATTAATAGTGAAAGTTGATAGTGTTTGGTTAAATATGTGCTTTTTGTGTAATAGAAAAAGTAAAAAGCAGATTCTAGCTTTTGGCTTTTAAGTGTTTAATTTAAGTAGAAGTTGTCACTTGAAAACACCTTTTCACTTTTTTAAGCCAAAAGCTCAACATCACTTATTTTTATTTTTTTGCAAACTTACCCTTAGTTGTCTTGGAATTTAAGATGGATAAATGCAGCAGTAAAGTTGTGATGTTAGAGCACAACTGCTGTGAAGTGTGAGTCAATGCTTGAATGAGTTGAATCTCTTCTCTTTCTCCTAGGGTTAAATTATACTTCCGCTTTGCTTTTCACATTTTGTTGTCTTATATACTCATTATCTGCACCTATGTCAGACATTAATGTCAAACTTGGTACAATTGTGTATGTTAAATAGTCAATTAAATGTATGTTAGGCCCACCTGGATCTGGAAAAGGTACCCAGTCACCCATCATTAAGGATGAATACTGTTTATGCCATTTGGCCACCGGTGACATGCTTAGAGCTGCTGTTGCTGCCAAAACTCCTCTTGGAATCAAGGCCAAGGAAGCCATGGACAAGGTTGGCATTGATACTTTTTGCTGAAAGTGCAAAAGAATCCGTTTCGCCATAATTGGTTGCTCATATTGAAATCTTTCTTACTTTTAGGGTGAACTTGTTTCTGATGACTTAGTTGTTGGGATCATTGATGAAGCAATGAAGAAACCCTCATGCCAAAAAGGGTTCATTCTTGATGGGTTTCCCAGGACAGTGGTTCAAGCAGAAAAGGTAGTTGCTGATACACCCACACACCCACACACATATGCACATATATATGCATATGTGTGTGTGTGTGTGTTTGTGTCTGAGAGAGAGAGTCTATTATGTGCCTTACTGGGTTGTAAAACATCAATCTTCCGTTGTTTTCTGTTTCCTCTGATGTTTTCATTTTTTTATCGGATGCAGCTAGATGGAATGCTTCAGAAGCAGGGTGCCAAAGTGGACAAAGTATTGAATTTTGCAATTGATGACGCTATTCTGGAAGAGAGGATTACTGCTCGATGGATTCACCCTTCAAGTGGAAGAACTTACCACACAAAGTTTGCGCCTCCTAAAGTTCCTGGAGTTGATGATGTAAGTTCCATTTGATCTATTTTATTTCTTCTACTTTTATCCTGTTCTTTGGGGACAAAGGGGGTCTGGGCTAGATGGTGTTGGACGGTTGGATTCAAATATTAAAGTAAATTGTATTGTGTCATGATTAGTGAACTGCTCCTTATAGATGGAGTTCATCTCCATCTGATGTGTATGGCATAATGGTACCAATGAGTTCTTCTTTAATTGATCAATGAGCTAATTTCTGTTTTAAGTTGATACTTACTAAAGCCCTGAAGCATGAAGGGCATGCTTGCATGAGGTAGAACTTGTGCATTTGGACCACCTTCTTTGAATTCTTGTTTTAGAAGCTCATACAATTTTCTCTCCCAAAGGAAGTGACCAAATTCATTGCATCATAGAAGCTCTTGGTGCATTTCTAAATTCTATGGATCGAGTTGAATCTATTAAAGAAATTAATAGTCATGATTTAAATACATGTTTGGAGTTACCCTTATGACCATTGATATAACATTGCACATTAATATTTTTTTGTATCCCATTGCTAGTGCTCCGTAATGGCTGTTGAGCTAATTAATTGATGATTTTTGTGTAGGTCACTGGAGAACCTCTAATTCAACGTAAAGATGATACTGCTGCTGTTCTCAAGTCCAGGCTCGAGGCTTTTCACCGCCAAACAGAACCGGTGAGAAACTAAGAACTACAATATGTCCGCTAAACAGAACCAGTGAATGTTTTTCAGTAATACACTTCTATATTACTGTTGCGTAATCCCGACTATTGAATGACATAATTCCGCCGGAACATAATTATATATAATCTAAATTACTGTTGCATAACTCTACTATAATTCTATCACATGAAACTAAATGGCATAACATCTTCATAATTGAAGAACTATTTATTTTCATTTGAATGGTTTCCATCTGACCCCCCATTTCAACTTATTCATAGACTCCCCTGTAGACTTGTTTTTTCATGCTTAAAATGTCTTTTTTTGGAAGCATAATTAGATACCGGATTTTGATATCAACAAATATAATTAAGTTGATTATCAGTCAGACTCTGTTGGTTAGTCTTCTAGAAGTGTCATAAGGTATGTCCTGATACTAAAGCTCAGGAGTTCTGTTTTCATGTAATGTATAACTCCCTTGCTCGCACTAAGTTTGGCACAAGAGAGATAGTGTGTGGTGCATAAATTAAGCAAAAATGGATTTGTGTGGTTGGTATTGAATTTGCAAAGTATGAAAGTTTTGAGCCACACAAATATGTCCAAATATGGTATGTTATAAACATTTTGGGATGGACAAAATAAAAAATGGGGCAAACATTGTGGGGGGATGGAGGGAGTACATTAGCACTAAGTTGCTATGGCCTATGAGTTTGAGCAAGATCTTAACCTCTTTCACAGTTTCACACGTGTTTTGCCATTCATAGATTACTAGAAAGTAGAAACAATGATCATTAGTAACCTTCACGAAAATCATCAATCAATTAGCTCAGCAGCCATTACGGAGCACTAGCAATGGGATACAAAAAAATATTAATGTGCAATGTGAAAGAGGTTACTAAAAATATCAACCAGCAGTCAGCACCTTAATCCCAACGCCGTTGAGTCTGCGGCTGAAATTTATAGTGTTATTTAGTTGTGTGAGATTTGTTAATTAGTATATAAATGGTTGTAAAAGGAATCATGTGACAGTTCCAAAACCATCTCATTAAAATATAATTTTTCTCACATGATCTTTTTCTACACAATCCCATATCACTCTTTTGTAACAATTCTATTTAGTCACAAACTCACAGTCCATCTGTGTGTTCGATTGTCTTGTAATCAATCTTTAGCTGTTTATGTAAATGTTATTTCTTTGGACTGCAGGTTATAGATTATTATTCAAAGAAGGGTATTGTTGCTAGCTTACATGCTGAAAAACAACCAAAGGATGTTACAGCAGAAGTTCAGAAAGTTTTATCCTCCTAGAGAAGAAGCTTATAACAAAACTGGCCTTCTGAATTGAACTGTACTATCTGCTTGTTGTTTGTCTGACTGATGATCATTGGAAGGACAGTGTCTATCTCTTTTTAGTTCTTTTTGTTGTTTATCCCAGCATATTGTCAACTTCTGATGAGTTAGCAGAAGTGCACCAGTGTAGGAATTTTCGCTAATAAATTTATGATCACCTCTGAATATCTGACTATCACCAGATACAAGTTTCGTTTGTTTTTCAGCGGGTGAGTAGCAAACCGCTGCATTTTGCAGGGTTTTGATGTTTTAATTGATTAGCGGTTTGCTCCATCCGTTGTTATCCAAACGGCACCACAATGGTTATTTATCTGATTTGAAAGTTGTAACTTGATGGACTGGCCAAAATTTGTGCTCTCCGTTTACTGCCCAATGTTATTACATGAGCAATCTAGTTTCAAACTTGTGATTATAGTTGGTAGTTGGTAGTGTTGTGTACTTGTGGCCTTGTGGGCTTTGATCATTCAATTTTTTTTGAATATACTCCGTATTAAATAAATTGTAGTGAATGTTATTGCAATTATTTAAGAATGGATCCACTGAGGTAGTATTTGGTTACAACATGCTGTGACCAGTTTGAGTCATAAATTGAATATCCTTGATCTGGACTTCTTTTAAACAAATTAAATGAATACTCGGATAAACTATAAAGTAAGCCAAATGAAAAGTATAATCATATTTTGTAAAATGTAAAAACTAAAACCAAATGTTTTAGTTCTTTCATTATTGATGAATCATTGTTTGGTCTTACATTCTTAAAACATTTCTTTTCATCTCACACTTGTAAAGGTAGAAAACTGACTATGTATTTGATGCGTCTTTCAAGTTCTTGATAAGCAAATCAAAAGTTCAAGACTAGAGGTTGGCCCGACCTTGATGAGCCCGAGTTTATCAACGATCTGAGCTTGTTGACCTCTTTGGTTGTTTCTTGGATTACCTCTCCTCTAACTTGCATAGAATGTTGACTATACTCTCATCCATTGAGCATAACCTTATCATCTTCAATTTATTTTTATTTTGGTTAAAGTATTCATTACTCTATTTTTATTACTGAGATCTTATGACATCATAAATTTTACACCATTATTATAAAAGTGTAGTCACGTGATAATGTAACATTATTACTTACTACCTTTCACAAATTTTCTAATTTACTGGAGGAGTGTGAGAAGTATCTTTTGAACATTTTGGTCTACATGGAGTGATGGAGGAGTGTACACATCCAAAATTAGGGTTAGACCCGTTCTCGGTTCCGGTCCAAGATCGGCCAGTCCCGGGTTGTATTTGTGAAGACCGGAACTGACCCAGGTTACAACGTACCTGATTCCGATCCGGTCTACCCGGCCGGTTCCGGTCCGGTCCTTTATTACTATTAATATTATTATTTTTTAAAAAATTATTGTACAATAAATAAATGATGTATATTTATTTTAAACACTACATTGTCACTTGTATCAATATCACATTTGAAAAATACAATTGAGAATAGTTTAAAGTTGAAAATTACAATACATGAACTATTCGTCGGAGTCCCTTCCGGTCTCGGTTGTCGTTTCCTCCATGAAATGGCGGTCCGGTGCTATGTTGACTACTTGTGTTCTACGGTGGGCCTTCAACCATTCATTGAAGCAAACGAGTGTCTCAAGAGATGAAGCGCTCAACCTCGTTCTATAGTCAGTCAAAACGTTGCCAGCTTCGCTAAACTCTTGTTCCACGACAACAGTTGAAAGTTGAAACTGACATCGACAACACTTGTTTGGCCGATGGGAAAAAGTCGTCCGCTTCATTAAACTCAACAAGAAATTAAAAAAAAATTATGGCCGCTGGGACCGGAACCGGGACCGCCCGGTCCGGTCCCCAGACTACATACCCGAGACCGAGCCCGCCCAATACCCGATCGGGTACCAGGTCCAAGCCCGGGACCGGAAAAACGGACCCGATTTGATCCCGCACAATGGCGGGTCCGGTTCCGGTCCAGTCTGGGACCTCCGACCAGGTCCATGCCTATCCAGAAAAATCATTTGGAAAAGGGAAATGGAAAATAAAATACATGTAATTTACATGTATTTGTTTGTGATAAAATACATGTAAATTGATTATGAAGAATTGAAGACAATATTTTACTCCCTTTGATTTACTGTTTCTGTGCTATTATTGTTTGGGTAGAAAACAGATTTGATAGATATTGATTTGGGTGGATAGATATTCTGCTGCAGTTGAATTTGAAAGGTTATCTCTTTGATTCCATGCACTCTTGAAATTTGACGGTGGCAGTGAGCTGAAGAGCGGTTAGGGTAAAAATGAAATTGGCCCCGCGAGAAATTGAGAAGTTGATGCTCCACAATGCAGGACATCTTGCACAGAAACGCCTTGCTCGCGGCCTACCCCTCAATTATACTGAAGCTGTTGCGCTTATTGCCACTCAGGTTTTCAATTTCATCCCCTCTTACGTAGTTTTTTTAATCTAGTTTTATTTTATTGTGCTAGAACTTTTTTTTGGAGGGATACTGTGCTAGAACTTGATTTAGTTTTCAGAACTGATTTTGTTTCTGTTTCCTGCAGAAGCAAAATCAGAATAAGTTTTAAGATTTAAAGCATAAGCAAAATCAGAATAAGTTTTAAGAAGTACTTCTACACTTTTACCCAACCACTCCTACATTTGGAGCTTAGATAATTTAACCCAAGTAGCAACTACTTGAAAATTATTAATTTTCAAGGGACTGAACTTGCAGCCTCCTTCATAAGCTTTCATGGTGAAGACAATGCTCTTTGTTTCCAGAATGAGAAGGAGATACACTCTTTGTCTAGTAGCCGGGATGAAGAGCTTCATATCGACTATGAAGACATTGGTCTCTCTCTTTGTCTACGACCGAGATGAAGGCCTCTCCAGCTGTCCAGCATGGAGGGGTTTTTCTTTTCAATTTTAAAATATTAAACTATTTCTATAATGATCAGTTTATCACTTATGTGCGTTGTTTAATCACTCATTTGTTGAAAAGCATTGTTTTTCATGGGCATAGCTAGGGGCCAACCTGGGCCCTGCCTACCCCAAAATTGGTAAAGAAAACTTTTTTTTATGTATAATACTTTTATCCTTAAAGTTTAAGATAATGAATTGTTTTTCCAGTCCATTTTCAAATTAGAAAATTTCAGAGCCCTCGTAAGCGGTATGCCATTGAATAAAATTAGTACAGAGTATTACACTGTTACTCCATAGTATTCTTTGAAGAAATATTATTTTTACCACTTTATTCAAGTTGACATTCTTCATTTAATTTATTTTCTTAAATAAAAATGTTAAGGTTTATGAGTTAGAACGGAAATATTATTTTTTCGTGAAAGGATGGTGCTTTTTATATTGCTTTTATGCCGAGAACCATTACTTTCACATAAATAATACACTTTGTGGTATTTGATAAAAAAAACTCCGCCATGATATCTTTTTTTTTGGTATCATGCCTGTCCCACGTCAGGATAAAGGAGGAGGGTGCTGTGGTAGGCGTGTGACGGTCAACAGTATCACCTAGTCACATCACATGACATGAATCGAAATATGAATATCGCTAATGCTAGGTCGTCACCCGTAAGTGACGCGTCATCCCTCCGCCTGGGGGTGGTGTCAAATATGCAAGGGCGCCTACACTTCATAGACCTGGGTGTGGTGATAAGAATGCTAAGGTTGCTAGGTTGCCGCCCGGAAGCGGCGCGTCATCCCATTGCCCGGGGATGATGTCAAATATGCAAGGGCATGGTAGGGTCCGAGATGGGGCTAAGAACAGAAGGTGGAGTGCTAGATTGTGTTTTGGGACATGGAATGTTGGGTCTCTTACAGGCAAATTTTCCGAGGTAGTTGAGGTTATGAGGAGAAGGAATATCAGTATTATGTGTGTGCAAGAAACAAAATGGGTTGGAGAAAAAGCACGCGAGATTAATCCTTGAGGTTTTAAGTTGTGGTATTCGGGGAGAGATAAGACCAGAAATGAGGTAGGCATTATTGTGGCGCGTGACTATGTTTGAGGATGTGGTAGAAGTCTTCAGGAAGAACGATCACATCATGAACATTAAATTGGTGATAAGGGGTGAGATTGTGTGTGTGGTAAGTGCCTATGCACCACAAGTGGGATTGGATGCATCTACAACTCAACAGTTTTGGGAAGATCTTGAAGACGTGGTGCGACGAGTGCCAAGGGGAGAGAAGTTGATCATAGGAGGTGACCTCAACGAGCATGTGGGCTCGAGTCGTGATGGCTTTGAGAGTATTCATGGCTAAAAGACACATCTTGGTGGAATGATGAGATGAAACAAGCCATAAGGAACAAAAGAGATTGCTACAAAAAGTTGGGGACAAGTTGGAGTGATGAGAACATAGAAGCATACAAGGAGGCTAAAAGACAAGCAAAGAAAGCCGTAAGGGAAGCACGAGGGAAAGTGAACAAGGAGTTGTATGAAAAGTTGGACTCTAAGGAAGGAGAACTAGATATTTATAGACTTGCTCGTCTTCGTGATCGCAGGACTCAAGATATTGCAAAAGTTAAGTGTGTGAAGGATGTCGATCAGAGGATATTAATGGACGACGGAGAGATAAAAGAGAGGTGGAGGTCATACTTTGATACACTATTCAACCAGATTGTATCGTAAATCGTGATTTTGTGAGAAGGATCCAAACAACGGAAGTTAAAGAAGCTCTGAGGAAGATGGGACGGAAGAAAGCAATGGGGCCAGATGGCATACCGATCGAGGCTTGGAGAAGTTTGGGAGAGAGAGGCGTCGAGTGGTTAACAAGTTTCTTCAACATGATTTGGAGAAATAACAAGATGCCAACGAGTTGGAGGAAGAGTACTCTTATCCCCTTATTTAAGAATAAAGGTGATGTACAAGAATGTGCCAACTATCGAGGGATTAAGCTTATGAGTCACACCATGAAACTTTGGGAGCGAGTGATTGAGCAAAGACTTCGAAGAAGTGTGAAGATTTCAGAGAATCAATTCGGTTTTATGCCTGGTCGCTCAACAACTGAGGCCATTCACCTTCTTCGGCAACTTATGGAGAAGTATAGAGACGCTCATAAGGATCTGCATTTGGTGTTCATTGACTTAGAAAAGGCATATGATAGGGTACCTCGAGAAGTTCTTTGGTGGGCCTTAACTAGGAAAGGCATATCACGCAAGTATATCAGCATCATCATGGATATGTATGAGGATTGTACTACAAGTGTCCGTACTAGTGTAGGAAGGATTGAAGAGTTCCCTATTACTATCAGAGTGCACCAAGGATCGGCCTTGAGCCCTTTCTTATTTGCCATAGTCATGGATGAACTTACGAAGTCAATTCAAGACGATATACCGTGGTGCATGATGTTTGCCGACGATATTGTATTGATTGATGAGACGCAATCAGGTCTTAAAGCAAAGTTGGAAGTATGACGAAAAACATTGGAGAATAAGGGTTTCAAACTAAGTCGGAACAAGACAGAGTACATGGAATGCAAGTGCAGTGGTAATAGCGGAATTACTCTGGATGGTAAGGAGATACCAGTCAGCGATATGTTCCGTTACTT